CTGTTTTGCTTCTTTTCCCCTTCACCTGCCAGTTGCCAAAGGGTGCCTCTCCCTTCCTTTTTGCCTTTTTTCTCCTCTAGAAGCCACTTTGAAGATACCCACTTCAGATCATGTGTACATTTAAGTCCCTCTCCAGCAGTCAGTGACTGGATCATGTTTTAGTATTTATAAAATTAAGGGATTTACTTTTTCTGGTAGTGGTTATAAAGCAATTTTAGGCCTGCTGCTAGCTCCCTCTTTTCTCTGTCCTTCAGTTTTTGCTGGACTGCTCTTGCTTACTGTGAAGGCTTGTGGCAGGAGCATGAGTGATTACTCACTGGGATTTGATGTTTTTTCTTTTTCACTTACAGTTATTTTGGAGTCTGGGCGTTCTGTGGCTTCTAGTTGTATGGAGGACATGGTTTTTGTGCAGTTTTATTTGTTTTTCTTATTGTTCTATATTGTTCATAGAGGATATATGTAGAAATGCAAATCTGGGCAGCCTCTACCTAGCTATCTGAAAGCTCTTGGGCAAATTTTTAACTCTCTGAACTTAGTTTCCTCATATGTAAAATAGGGATAATAATTATACCTCCTTGATAGGGATTTTGTGAAGGTTAAATGAGATAATATTTATGAAGTGTTTATAATACTGCCTGTCACATAAGTGCTCAAAATTGTTAATTGCCATTATTATTGTTATGTATGGATGCAATATCTGCTCGAATACTACTGTGGATACTGCTTTGGAAATAAAACGCTTGACACTATCTGAAGTTGATCCGTCCTGTAGTCCTGTGTACCTCATCTTCTTCTGCCTTTTTATGGACTATGCTTCTATAGCTATGCTTTAGCTCCTGCATCATCTCTTCTTTTGTTTTTATTGACTTCCTCCTGTTGTCATGCAAAGAAGCCTAAGCCGTCTTAAAAAAACTCTTCTGTTGACCCATTTCCGCTTCTAACTCTGTACCCTATTTCTCTGCTCCCTGTCATGGTAGAACTCTTCTATATAGCTGCCTATATGGGTTGTCTCCATTTTCACATCTCCCATTCTCTCTCTAAGCCACTTCATATGACCTTTTATCCCCTGCTTCTCTACCAAAGTGGTTCTTACCAAAGTTATTCTTGACCTGTGTCTTTTCAAATCCAAGTATTACTTCTCTGTCCTGACCTGGTGAACCACTCCTTTTTTTGTTATTGGTGTTTTAAAATCATTTTGAAGTCCCTCAGACATAAAATGTATTTAAAATAATATAATGAACATGTGTATTTGCCATCTAGCTTCAAGAGTGAAAATTATCAATTCAATTGAAGCTGTGTCCTTTCCCAACAGTAGATGCTCCTATGCTCCCAGATGTAGCCACTATACTAAGTTGGTATTTATTGTCCATGCCCCCCACTTTTTTGTACTTTTGCTACATATGTATCTTTATATAAAAAAATGTAGTGGTTTTCATATTTTAACCTCCAGATTAAAATGATTACTCTTACATATCTTCTTTTCCAACATGTTCTTTTTATTCAGCATTTTGTTATGAGAATCATTTATGTTGACACGCATGGCCTAGGATGTGTACTTTCACTACAGTATAGTGTTACATTGTATGAACAGTTTATCCATTATCCTGTAGTTGGACACTTAAGTTGTTTCCACTTTTCAGTGGTTACAAACCGTCCTTCTGGGAACATTTATTATAGGTACCTCCTTATATGTGTGTTTCTGTTTTGTAATACCTGGAAGTAAAAGTTCCTGGGTTAATAATGTATATACTTAGACTCTTCTTTTGAAACACCTTGTTCTAGACTTCCACAATGCCACACTTCTCTGGTTTTCATTTTACTTCATAAACCAGGCATTCTCAATCTCATTTTTCTGGATCCTCATTCTCTACTGCACTATATTGATTCATCCTAGGGCTTTGTCTTTGGCTCTCTTCTCTGTCTTCACATTTCCCATGATCTTCATCAAATGTGATCCAGTCATGTAACTGCTTTGCTTAAAGTCATTCAGAGGCCCCCCTACTGCCTCTAAAGTCTGAGCTCTGTATCATGGACAAAACCATGAATAATTAGCTCCCTGTGTATATCCTACCTCTTTTCCAAAGGATCCTGAAGACCATCTCTCCAGCAGACTGGGCCTTTGTTCACACTATTTCCTCTTTCCCAATTTTCTTTCCCATCACTCCCTACCTGCCTAGTAAACTTGCTCATTTTAAAAGATAACTCACACGTCCCCTTTTCAGGGAAGCTTTCCCTGACACACTCAGGCAGAAGTAAGCCATTCCTTCTCTGTGTTCTCCTAGCAGTTTGTTCCTTATCTCCACTATAATAGTGATTCATTTATCCAACAAATATTTATTGATTGCCTGCTATATGTTAGAAACTGTTCTAGAAATTGGGGCTATACAAGACAGACAAGGCCCTTATTTTCAAGGAGTCTACATTCCAGAGGGTAGGAAAGAGAAAAATATAAGCAAACATTATTTCAGATAGTGATAAGTAGCACTATGATAAAGTGAAAGCAGACAGTGTGGCGGTGTGATGGAGAATGTGTGTGGGGAGTGGGTTTGGGCGATGGGGGTGACACCTCAGGTTGAGTCAGATGCTGTTTGAGTTGAGACCTGAAAGATAAGAAGGAGCCAGCCATGTAGAAATTGGAAAGAAGAACATTCTAGGCAGAAGGAATAGTGAGTACAAAGGCCCTAGAGTCCATGTGTTTGGCATGTTTAAGGAACAGCATGATGGGCTGTGAGGCAGGAACGTGATGAGGAGGAAGGGGTGCTGTGTGAAATCAAGTCCGAGAATAGACAGGACCAGATCCAATAGGACTTACAGGTAGGAGTTGTGGATTTTAGTTTATGTGTACTGGGAGGCCATCGGAAGATTTTAAGTGAGAGGTGACAAGATGTGACTTATGTCTAGAATTGTCAGTATGGCTTCTATGAGGAGAATGCTAGGGGGCTGAGAGTGTAGAGCAGAGACCATTAGGGGGTGCTGCCTACTACAAATGAAAAACGTTGGTAGCTTGGATTACTGTGGCATTTGAGTGTCCATGGAAAGAAATGGAATGACTTAGGAAATATATTTTGGAGGTAGGCTGACAAGACTTGCTGATGGATTGCATGTTTTGGCTTTAAGGAGGGATGGACTCAAGAAAAGGCCCCCTCGGCTCTTCTTGAGTAACTGGGTGGAGAGTAGTGCCATTTACTGACATGTGGATGAATAGTGGTGGTGGCACTGATGAGAAAGTTCTGTGGTGGGGAGGGAACCCAAATTTATGTTTTAGATGTTTTAAGTTGGATATGCCTCTTAAGAATGCAATGTGTGGATCGCACAAAGGCAGTTGGGTATATGGCTCTGAAGGTCAGGGATTGTCTTAGTCTGTTGGGGCTGCTATAAAATTACATAGGCTGGGTGGCTTAAACAACAAACATTTATTTCTCACAGTTCTAAAGGTTGGAAGTCTGAGATCGGAGAGCTAGCATGCGTGGGTTCTGGCGAAGTCCTCTTCCAGATTGCAGACAGCCTTATATCCTTATATGTAAGGATATAAGAAGATCTCCTTATATCCTTACATGGTGGAAAGAGGGCCGGGGAGCTCTCTGGCCTGTTCTTTAAAGGGCACTAATTAGGCTCTACCCTCATGACCTAATTACCTCCCAAAGGTCCCACCTCCAGATACCATCCCATTGGGATTAGATTTCAAAATAGGAATTTTGGAGGGACACAAGCAATCAGCTCATAACAGGGATGGATATAGGTAATTTTGGGAGTCACCAACTTATTGATTATATTTTAAAGCTGGGAGACTGGGTAAAATAACCTAGAGTTTGTGTATAGATGGAGATAAAAGAGGGCTGAGGGTAGTGCATTGGACGCTGCAGCATTTAGAGAATGAGAGGTAGGGAGGTAAGAGGTAGTCATAGAAGACAATAGAAGGAGGGAGTATGAATAGTATGGTGCTTCTTAGAGTTAGAGCATAATGACAGCACAGACGTGACTGTTGTATTTGACTCCTGGAGATCACTGTGACCATGGTAAAAGCACCTTTACAGCATTCCAGTGGCCAAAAAGTGGAACTTAGCTCATTCCTTTAACTGCTTACGTATCTGTCTCCTCCTCCAGACCATATGCTAGTCCTATTTATTTCTAGGGCTTAGCATGTAGTAAATGGTGAATAAATATTTGTCTACAGGTTTGGATTTTACAGTGCAGTTTAAAGAATAATATACGGTTTTACCCTCATTCAGAATGCTTTTAGACCACTGACCCTTCCCACCAGTTTGTATCAGCTCAGCCATAAACTTGTGAATAATAAATTAAACGAAACATGATGAGAGAGGAAAGCCATTTTAGTAGAGGTTCACAGTGTATCCTGAAGCCATCATGCTGTACTGAAAAAGGGCCTTGCTTTGGATTCAGAAGGCCTGGCTCAAGCTCCGGCCCCATTGCTAGGCCTCCTGAAGGTATTGGGGGCAAGTTCCCCACACTCTCTGGATTGCAGGTTCTCAGCTGTCATATGTGGATAACATTAACAAATTCCTCTTACAGGATTTTTGTGAGTGGCAAATGAGCTAATGCATATGAGAGTTCTTTGTAAGTAAAAAGATGCTCTGTAAGCGCTATTTTTGTAAAAGTCATTGGATTATCCATTTCATTACTGACTTATAAAGTAGATTAGATCAGAGTGTCATAAAATTCATATTTAGGCAGTGGCATATGAATGGCAACAAGTTGGGAGAGGACACAGATCTGGAAAATGTGGGACTTTTCCAGAAATATATAGGAAATTAATGTCTTTTGGCTTTGTTCTCTTATCATTCCCAGATAAATTTAATCATTCTGTTAGAATCAAAGAGTAGACTCTTCTACTTTAAGATGTAATAATCAAATCTAGCTAGAGGTCTGTTTATCCCACTGTTGCCTGTCTCTGAAAGAATAAAATTTATTTATTAATCAATACATTAACTCATTTTGACAGATTTTCCTCACAGTGATTTCTCATTTCATGTTACTTCTAGGGTAAAAATCATGGTAAGAAACTCCGAAATTACTATGCAGCAAACAGCTGTCCTCCTCCTGCCAGAATGAGCAATGCAGTGGAACCTGTGGCTACTCCAGCTGTTCCAGTCCCTCCGCAGGTGAGACACGTGTGTCAAGGTGGGCACTGTCCTATGCACAGATGGTCATGGGTAAAATTTGTTGTCTGTGTGCCCATCAAGGTACAGCTGAGCAAATATTCCTAAAAGGTCCTACTTAGTGCTTTTAACTCCTTGAACTCCGTGGTGCTGGATTTAATGCATGCAAAAATCCATGAATCCCAAGATTTCTGATTGGCTTTGGTTACGGTGCATGAAATGGTGAAACAAAATTATTTCATGAGTCTTTCTCTATGTATTTCTCAAAATCCTGGGTTAAATGGCCCTGAATGTCTAGGCGAAGCCCTGAATGAGAGATTTTTAAACATTTATATCTCTATTGCAGTTAATCCCGTTGACTTAATATTTTGCCTTCCAGCAAGATCAGTTTCTTGAGGCTGCCCTTTTCTTTTTTTTTTTTTTTTTTTTTTTTTTTT